CTGCATGGACCAGCGTGATGGAGTATGAACACACAACCAGCAGGCGTGGCGAGGCCTTCTTACAGCAGTGCTTTGGCTTGGGGTTCGAAATTAGGTATTGTTATTTGATTATTTGAGGTGTGTGGGCTGTGGTTTTAAGATTTGGCTACGTGCTATCAGCGAACATGTTGACAGGTCGATCTTATCAGGTCATGTGTTTGCACGAGTCCTTTGTGGCCAAAGGCTCACAGAGTCGATACTGGTATTTGTTTCTGCATTCTTTGAAGATTACAGATGACAACCTGTCGACACACGCGTGGCTGCAACGGCATGTAACCATAGCACTGCAGTACAGTACTCTCTGTCGTCAAGAAAACTCAAGGGTGGCAGTCGGGTTTTTTACGATCGGGTTTAATTGTTTTTTATATTAAACCCGATCATCTGAGATTGGGAGAAATCCGGTTTAATGGGTTCTAATTGCAGAACCGCACTTCTCAACGATGGGCTTCATCCATTCCAAGCCAAGGAACTCACTGGCGCCCACGATTGTGGAGGAGAAGCTCGTGTTCATCACGACCAACCTGCCCGCCGCATTCTACGACTACCCCGTGCCCGACGGCCCCCCCGAGTACGATAGCAGCACCGACGAGGAAGCAGCCTAAGCCTTGGATCAGAGCTTCGTATTCATTAAACCAGGTTTTAATTCCCCGAAATCGGGTTTAATTGTATTCAAGAAAAAACCCGATGCCTGCCGCTGGAAAAATCGGGTTTTTTCCACCCATGAGAAAACTGAACACATTCGTCAATGACACTGTGACCCTAAAATCAAAAATATTTAATTAGCGACGTTTTGGGTAATGGCCCTTTTTCATAGCACACAAATGAAGGGGCATTGACCATAACTTCACCTATTATCTATATGTTTTGTTTTTAGGCAGCGTTATTGACGGACATATGTTGAGTTTTCTTCGTGTTTATTGTGCTTGTGCACCACTGCCAATGCAGCAGCAGCATCGCCAAATAACTCGTGGCTAAGAAGACTTCTTAGTTTCAAAGTTTTCACGACGGATCATAGTTCAGGGTTTCATCGCTGTATATTTGCGTAGTAAGCTCTCTGCAGAAACACTGTTTAAAGTCTGTCACCCGTAACTGGGTCCACGTGTTCGGGGCCGGAGACCCCCAGTGAAGCTGCGCTGGCCATCTTGATGCACAAGGTTTGCACAGAAACCGCAAATCGTCATGGGCCTACGTTTGCATTACGTTGCCTTTATACATTACAAGCTTTACTACCCGGCTTCGCCTGGGACTTGGATTCACCACGCCCGACCGCCTTCGCCTCCCCAGTGGCGATGTTCACACACCACAGCAGTTACTCGTTTGAGGCTGAGTCAACCTAGGGGAGGCCCAGGACCGGTTCAAATATTCGTCACCGGCGGTGGCCGTGAGCGGGAATCGAACTCGGGTCGCCGGGTTGTTAGCGCGGCGCGCTAACCACTACACTACAATGCGTGACGCTTCCACATGTGCGGGTCACGTGACAGATTTGACGTCACAGCGCACTTGCCGTGCAAAAAATATCTGCATTATTGAGCTTCCCCCCTCCCCAAAAAAAGTGTATTTAAAAAAATTTTGCATGGTGTACAGTCTGGAAAGTACCCACATGGCAAATTTCAAGTTTGTTGCATGTCGGGAATTACGCTAAACATTTTGAACACACATAATCACAACTTTGCCTTTTTTATATGGAGATAGCTGGCACTCACCTGGGTGCCGCGGTGGCGAGATGTTAACTACCTCGCCCGGTATACAGGAGGTTCATGGGTTCGATCCCGACCCTGATGTCTGTATATTTGGAGTTTGTGTGTTCTCCCCGTGGTCTCGTGGATTTTTCTCCAGGTCCTCAGGTTTTTACCTCCACGTTGAGAATCAACATGCGTTTAAAGAGTCTGCTATAAATTCCACATGATGATAAGCCACTTTCTTTTGGCTATCGTTTGTGATAGCCAGGTCGCTTCTGAAAAACAACTATATGGCTCGGTGGGCCTTACTTAGTAAAATAAAAAAAGTTTATTTTTTTATTCCAGCACTTCAAAGATAAGGTTTTTGTTTGGGGGAGGGCAGTGTAGGTTTGTGAAACTCCGCGTGTGTGCAGATCGGTGAGTGTGGTCTCCTCGTATGCGCGGGTTGTTCTCCGGGTTCTCCGGTTTCACCCCAACACGAAGCAACACACCGCTTGAAAGAAAATTGGTCAAACATCCCAAGGCAGGAAGGACCATCCTGAGAAGAGTCTTGGGACTCGGTAAGGGATTTCCACAATAAGTAAATAATATCATCATCCATACTCTTTGGTTCTTTCGGTAAAGTCACATAGGTGAAAATAAAAAAAATAAGAATAACAAAAATAAACATACAAAAATCACGACGTTTCGATTGCAACACAAGCAATCATCATCAGATGTGACAACCACAGCAAGAATTTTTTTTTACTGAAGCGGGAGAGATGCCGGAGTTAAGAGGGTTTATATAAGTCAGAGAGGGGGAGCGTTGCATGTGTGATTGAGACTGAGAGGGGGGGGGGGGAAGTGGGCGGGGCTGTAAGTTTTTTAAATATTTTTTTTTTTTAAATTCACCTACGTAACTTTACCGAAAGTATCAAAGAGTATGGATGCTTGCAGTCACGAAAACTTCAAATCTGGAATGAAAAAAATATCATCATCATTATTATTACTGGGGTTTGTGAAGCTAGCATTGCATGCCACTTGCTATTTGGGATTGATTGTTGAGTGATATATTTGTGGTCATTCGTGCACTTATCTCCATGGTAAATATCTTGATTGAATTCACTGTTGGGGAATTTTACTTCCTCCCTAACGCATGAGAATACTGCAATGGTGTAGTAGCTCACTGGTTATGCAATCCAGAGGTCTGCGGCAGTTGAACCAATGGTGCAAGTTTCTAAAATCATCCACTGCACCTGTCCACCCAACAGTATAAACTATAAACAACATTAAACTACAGTATTTTTTTTTATTTTACCAGGTAAGGCCCACTGAGCTAAGTAGCTCTTTCAGAAGCGACCTGGCCACAAATGATAGCCCAATGAAGTGGAAATGTACAGCAGCCAAATACTCTAATGCACGTTTCTAAATGTGGAGGGAAAAACCGGAGGACCAAGAAAAAAAAATCCACGCGACCACAGGGAGAGCATGCAAACTGCAAATATAGCGGCGTGAGGGTCGGGATCGAACCCACGCCCTCCCATATACCAGGCGAGGGGTAGTTAACATCTCGCCATCGTGAAGCGAATGGTTGCAGCAGTCGATCGGCAAGGCGCGTGTGGTGGGGTAAAGTGTGGGTACTCATCCCTCTTCCACGCCGTCTCGCCCGCATAGCGCAGTAGGCCAAATACCCTCGAGACTTTCATCTCGTGCAGGAGCGACATTGCCAAGGCTCTACCGTCACGTGTGGTTGGGATCGATGCTTGACAAAATACCGGTGGCGTTTGTGTGGAAGTAAACCGGCGGAAACCCATGCAGAGCAGTGGGACAACGCACGAACTCCGCGCAGAAAGGCGCCCGAGCCGGGGAATCGAACCCAGGGCGTGTTGCCACTGTGCCACCTCCGATTGGGCAGCAGGCTGAGGCAATCGGCTTGCTACGCTTGGGAAACCAGTTTAGTTTTGGGTGGCTGCAAACCCATGTTTGACTACGAGTGCACGGTTGTAAAGAGATGCTCGTCCTCAGGTATGCGCGCCGATTTTCACGTCACTCTTTCTAGAAGTCACGGGTGGCCGGTCGTGTCTCCATGAAAACTTGCAGAGCGAGTGCACGAGAGGACCAGACGCGCGCGCGTGTTTACAGATCTGTCGTTCGGCGCATATCGGTTGGCAAGATCACGTTAAGATGTTGCAAGAACGGGTGACAGTTTTGGAGTGGTGGTGCAATGGTTAGTGCACTGCACCGTGAACTCAACGACCTTCAGGACTTCGATTTCCAACTACGGCTATCATCGGTGGCATCGCACGAGATATCTCAATTCCTACTGGCCACCACACCCCCTTCGCCCCGTCGCCAACTATACACTGACCAACGTGGTGAAGCACGGTCAAACAACCCCCTCCATCTACCACTGGATTGGGCGCCATGGTAAAATAAAAAATAGTTTAGTTGAGTTTATAGTTTTAACTTCGGGTTATAAAATATAACAAAAAATTGCGCACCTCTGGATTGTCGGAATTCGGTCAAGAACGTTCGCTTTCGACTCGTTTGTTCAACGGTAATAATTGCCTTGCACAGCATGGTGAAAGGCCTCATCCAGCAGTGGATTGACATACGGGCTCCACTTGTGCACGTGTGCAATGGTGCATCTCGGCTGCCCACCTTCACGCAGGTTAGCGCTGCTGTGCTACGAACACAACGACGCCAGTTCCTCTCCCGCTCACGACCAAAAATAGTGGCGAATATTCGAACCGGTCCTGGGCCTCCCCTAGGTCGACTTGGTCTTAAATGAGTACCTGATGTGGAGTGTAAATATTGCCACTGGGGAGACAATGGCCGGGCGTGGTGTTGGGCCACCCATACCCTCCTGTGCCATGCCGGCCTTCATAGGTGCTACTTGCAAACAGCATTTTCCCCAACGGTCTGTTAAGTCTACACGGGGGACCTTTGTCTTTTTGTCTGTGCGTGTGCCCAGGCATATTGTGCGTGTGCACAACACGTGGGAGCGTTAGTGTCGTGTTAGCGCGGCGTCGCCCTACGAACCTGGCTACCTGAGATTGATTCCCACTTATGGCCGACACCACTGACGATTATCGGAATCGGTCCTGGGCATCGCCTATATTGGCTTGGCCTCAAATGAGTACCTGGTGCGATGTGTAAACATCGCCACTGTAGAGAAAAAGGTGGCTGGGCGTGGTGTTGGCCACCCTACCCCCTCGTGTGCCGTGCCGGCCTTCATAGGCTGCTCGCTAACCCGGGACCACCTTTGTCTTTTTTGCGCGTGCGCCTGTGTCGATCATCCAGATCAAGTCGAACCAGAGCGACGTGTGGCGCGTGCTGGAGGGCAAAGCCGTGAGGTTCGAGCTGGTCGACATCGCCTCCAACGATGAGCTCCGCCAGAACATGAGGCACCTGAGTGGAAACCCCACGGCTGTGCCGCCGCAGATCTTCAACGACAACACCTACTGCGGGGTGAGCCCTCCCTCCGCGTCTGCCCCCTCCCCCCTCCCGTTCGGATTTTAATCTGTAATAAAACAATAAAACGACGAGCAGACACGTGGCAAACAGAAAACCTGACGCAGGCTGGGAACAGATTTGAACCCCTTTCCCCATTCCGAGACGTCTGTAAGTTGCAAGGGGTTTGGGTGTTCCTATTCTTAGGTTTTTTCGGTAAAGTCACGTAGGTAAAAAATTTCGTCACAGCACGATAGCTGTATCATACAGCTATCGTGCTGTGACGGTCCCACCTGAAGACGGAAGCTTGTGTTGCCTCCGAAACGTCGTGATTTTTATTTTATTTTTATTTTACTTTTATTCATTTAAATTTTTTACCTACGTGACTTTAACGAAAAAACCTAAGAATATGAATCCTTGCAGTCACGAAAGCTTCAAATCTAGAATTTGGGTGATCCGTTCGCCGGCGAATCTCAAAACGCGCTAGCTGGCTCGGCGTTAATTTCATTTAGAGATGCGTGTAGCACCGCTGTTTATAAAGACGTTACTCACCGCAAAGAACTGTAGCGACACGACCGCGCTCTACGATAGCTGGTGCCAATCTGTGGCACACGCCCTCTTGCACTGCCTTTTGCTTCCGATTACGCTCCGATTAGGTACACGTACGTCATCGGAATGGAATCGGAAGAAAAACTGATGAAGTACACGTACGTCATCGGAATGGGAAAAGGTCAACAGCATGCAAAAATCCCCCGTATAGCCTTAACAGACTGTGGGAGCAAGTGCTGTTCGCGAGCACCTATGAAGGCCAGAACGGTACACGAGGGGGTGGGTGGCCAGCACCACGCCCGACCGCCTTTGTCTCCCTAGTGATGATGCTTACATGCCGCACCAGGTACTCCTTTCAGGTTGAGTCGACCTAGGGAAGGCCCAGGACCGGTTCAGATAATCGCCACTGGTGTTGGCCGTGAACGGGAATCGAACCCGGGTCGCCAGGTTCATAGCGCAGCGCACTAACCGCTACACTACCGCTCCGCAGCATACACGCACACACACACAGATGTGCAGCTCTCACTTGGCCCGACCCTTCCGTTGTGATTGGTTTTCTCGTAATTTACAGATGTGGACTAGTAGCGTCCCCCATAGCATGCAGCCACAAAGTCATCTTCATAGATTAGGTTGCCAGGGGAAGATGGCAGCAGCAAACATGGCTGCACTGTACAGATGAGTTCTAATCTGGACGAAACTGGTCCGCGGTTGTCTTTGTTTATGAATGTTAAGGTTCTTTAACCCCAATCCAAGGCGGCAGTAGATGCTGCATGGATCGCAGCGATGCTGCCAGGGTGTGCATGGATGGCGCGCTCGCCGGTGATGTGTTTGATGGTTTGATCTTTACCAGTCGCAGATTGGCGAATCTTTGATTTTCCATTTATGGACCAACGTGGTACGCCGCACATCTCCCGTGCTGCGTCCGAGCGCGGCTCAGTGTGGTCCACAGCCGTCGTGAGAGAGAGAATCCCGGCACTTCTACGGTCGGGTCCCCAATGATATTCTTGTTTACCACGTTCGTAGCCGCCGATTTTACGAATGGTCACCCGCATCTGTGACATGCGTGAAATGCATCTTGGCGTTATCGTGAAGTTGCCCTGTTGCTATGACACCCTTCCGTGACCCCCCCCCCCCCCCCCGTCTCTCTCGACCCTGCAGGACTACGAGCAGTTTGCAGAAGCCGTGGAGCTGGACAGCCTGGAATCTTTCCTGAAGCTCAAATGAAACGTTGCCATTCCACGCGGCGGCCCCACGCACACCGCTCCGTGCGCGCCCCCTTACCAATCGTTTTTTTCGCTCGCGATAGTCCGCCGCCAGAACGCACTGCTTCTTGTTACGTTGATATTTGTAACAAGCCGATTCTATGGACGCCACTGCACGTTTTGGCAAACTTTCCACGGACCGACTTTCCTCGCCCGAGCGTTTCATGCCCGGGACCCAATTCCCCCCCCCACCTTGTCCATTCCGCCCAAGCGCACGGTCACGCAACACATTCCTCCGGGCCAGTTCTGTGGACATGCTTTGAATTCTTGCCATTTAGCATTAGTTTTTTTTCTTGCTGCGTCCTGGCTTGTGGATTAAATGCAATCGTCGTCCCTTTGCTCACCCGCGCTGTCGACCCATCCACACTGAGCTTAAAGCCACGAAAACCACAGTTGCCATAAGGTCACCGCGGGTGCCTGGTGGCACTTCTCCAGCCAATCTGCGAGCGGGATGCCCCTTTGCACGAGGAGTGTTTCTGAACGTTTTGCCTCTCCCCCCCCCGTGCCACGAACTTCGTGTTGTCTGGATTTAGCGGGGTTGTGGGAGAAAGGGGGGTCGTTTTCTTGGAAAATAACGGAAAATCAAGACGGGTCTGTTGTGGTTTTTTAAATAAAAAAATCCGTTCAATGAAGAAAGCAATAAATTGTGGCTCTTGAGAAAAAGTTTTATTTGCGTGCACGTTTCCTATCTGGTTTGATTCAAAACTAATTTCTCGTGGATTTTCTACTTTCGAATTTTTTTTTTACTTCAGCCATCGCCATTACTATCGTATCACTTCCAGTTTGTTTTGTCCATGCTGCGTTGTCTGTTTACTGCAGTTGCCATGACGGTTGCAAAGTCCTGATGATTCTTTTTGGTTCTTTCGGTAAAGTCACGTAGAAGGGAAGTAATAAAATAATAAAAATAAAACAGGTGAAGAAACAGGTCTGTTTCTTCACCTGAGGACGGCTGCTTGCATTGTGGCCGAAACGTCGTGAGAATTATTTTATTATGTTTAATTTTTATTATTTTATTACTTCCCTTCTACGTGACTTTACCGAAAGAACCAAGAAGATGAATCCCTGCAGTCACGAAAGCTTTAAGTCCTGATGATTCCCAACACGGATGAAACCAGTGTACACTTGTCTAATTCATCTGCTCCTCTCTAAAATCACAAGGCCAAGATTTTGACTTTTACATTGTTTTAGTTCCTGCGTTTTTTGTGCAGTCATTGGTGTTCAGGCTAAGACCATCAACTAGCTACACTTGAGGGGCCAGAAAATCGGAGGCAGCTGCCTGGATTCTAACCCAGAATCTCAGCAGTGTCAGCTGAGAGTGCCCTAACTTGAGCAACCTTGAATCTCGTGACGAGGTGAAATCCAGTCGATTGTCAACAGGTTCAGTTAATGTTTTTTGTTGTTTGTAACAATCGTGGCTCTGGACAGGACCAGGTGTGATCTTGTATCTGTAAGTCGATTCATGAGCGTGTAGCAGTCGCTGTCCAAACTTGATCTATTTCAGGCGATTTGTTTAAAACTGGCCCAGGAGATTGTGAACCGCAAATCAACACTACTGAGAGCGATGATAGCTAGGAAGTGTAACAGTCGCATCTTTAATCTTAACACAATTTTCGATACATCGACATGGCAATGCGCGAGAGTCAAAGTCATGACAACTCCCAGCCGGAACTTCCATAAACCACACGACGACATCGTATATTTAGAACGCTTAAGTCATTGTGAATGTGTTTATTTTTACAAGTAGCTAATTCTTTTGCTCACAGTTTCGACAACGCGGCTCGATTGCACTCCCAACCCTCTCCCATTCCGATGACGTGCATGTACGTCATTAGTTTTTCTTCCGATTCCGTTCCGAAACTGGAAGAAAAACTAAACAACTTTATCGTTACCGAGGCTCCCGCAAGGCCATGCGGGAGGGCGTGTGGCATAGTTTGGTGCCAGCTATGATAGAATACGGTCGTTTCGCTACGGTTCTCTGCGGTGAGGACAATATCTTTAAAAACAATGGCGCTACGCCTCTCGAAATAAAATTAACGCTGAACCGCTTGCGCGGCATTCCATGATTCAGCGGTGAACGGAAACGGGTAAAGGGTTCAGTGGCACGAGCGAATTTGCAAAAACGTCGTCTGCTTCCGCGTGCCAGTGGGCAGGCAAACATCGACGCGCCGGTGGCAGGTTGCGCGAGGGTTCCGGTAACACACGGACATGCATTTTAAACACGAACGCCGTGGAGTGGCCTGTGGGACGCGGGAGAACGCCGCTGCGCTTCGTGATGCGGCCTCCCTCCGGCGGCGAGCGACGGTGACGGCCCACCGGCGGCGGCAGCTGCCACCACGGCCGTGAAGCCTCCCGCCGTGTTCCGCCGTGTTCCAAGGCCTGAACGCGGAAACTCCTGCGGGAGCACACACGGCGGACGGGAACGTGACATTCGGGGCGAACGGGACTCGTCCGTTAGGCGTAAAATGTGGGTGTCGGCATTTTCTCAGACATTGGGTGGAAAAGCGGCTGAGCCGCTGGTTTTTTTTCCAATTTGGCTGTTTTCCACAAAGTGTTGGTGCACAAGTGGTGTGTGCCAACGTGATTAAAGCTGGTGGCGTTCGGCAAATACAGCGAGTTGATCGTCACGTCAGCCACCTTGTTTTACTTTTCCCAATTGTTTCTCCGATTGCGCGACGTCACGAGTAGAAGTATCCATTCGGATCTCTGGCAAAGCAGTGCCACCTGCTTGTTAAGAAAACGGCCCACAGAAGCGGATACCGTGGAACTACCCTCTGAGACCGTTTCATGCGCCCTCTGGTCCACAGTAGAGGGTAGCACCTTCCTACCCGCCTCTGCATATGAGAGTAGCGTTCATCGCATGAGAGTGAAGCCAATTATGACAATTGATATTTTAGCCAAATTTTTTATTTTAGAATTTGTTATTTTAGAATGTATATTTTATTTTAGAATTTTATTTTAGATATTTTCGAATTTATTTTATTTTAGATTTTTTATTTTCGGTTTAATATTTTATTTTCGATTTTTATTTTATTTTAGAATTTGTATTTTATATTTTATTTTAGATACTTTATTTTAGAACTGATATATTTTTTAGAATTTATATTTTATTTTAGAATTGATATTTTATTTTTGAATTTAACTTCATATTTTAGTTTAGATATTTTATTTTAGAATTAATATTTTCTTTCAGAATTCATATTTTAGCCAAATTTGGTGCAGAAACAACGTGAATGCAGTCATTGGTAACCAGGACTAAGACCATCAACTAGCCCCACTCTCTACTTTAATAAAGTTACACGAACGTAATAGCTGCCAATAATTACCATGTTGGCCTTCGTGCCGCTTTACTCCGCCGCATCCTGCTCGACGACCAGGGGAGGGAAACGAGAGAAGTGAATCGTTATCATCGTGGTGGCACAGAGGGGGTGGCACAGTTGGCAACACTCGTGCCTCGCAGCGAGAATCTTCTGGGTGTGACTCCCCGACTCAAGACGCCTTTCTGTTTGGAGTTTGTTCACCCCCTGTGCCGCGTGGGTTGCCGCCGGGACGCTCCGGGTTTGTTCCCGCAGCTAAACGAAACCCCACAATGTAACTTTGTATCGGCCAACACATCGCAATTTTCACGCGCTTTCAGGTGTGCTTCTGCGCGGCCGGCTGGAACGCTCTTAGGAAGCCAATGGAGCCATGCACTTATCAATCATATAGATTGACGAACTCATTTCTTTAGAACTGCTTTGTGTTTAGTTGCCTGTCCTTCCCCCGCGCCTCCCATTGGCATGGTCGGATACGTACGGCGCAAAAGAAGTCCAGCATACACACGTGCAATGCTGAACGATTACACCACTTCTGCGAAAACGTGACAGGACCCTCCTGAAAAAGAGCCTTGAGACTCGGTGGGGCCTTCCTGCGTAAATAATGCGTTGTAATGAAAACACAAACGTAATTTCACGCCTCACTTCTGAGAGACGAGGACAACATCATAGCAGCAATATAGCCCAGTGGGCCTTACCTGTTCAAATAAAAGATAGTTTATAGTTTTAATGGTTGATATGTTCAATCCCAACCGAGTAATTTGCCGATTAATTTTAGAAAATCTTGGCCTTCGGGTCTGTCCTGGTCAGTGACCTGGAAAATAATTGCATCGCCAGGCTAGGCCGGGTCACATCGAGATGGGCAACATCAAACCGACGTATTTTAAATAGGCAATGTCATTTCATTTGTAATCTAATTGGCAACTAAATTACACACCGCAAAGTAATTGGTCATTTGTACCTGCGTTACACAAGACGCGGTTAATACATAATTTGTATCAACACACCGCATTACCATACTCCAGTAATATTTCAACTCTATTACTCCATCGCTGCCTGACCCAACCCACCACATCCAGTATGGCTCTCACAATGCACGCATGTTGAACTTCTTTCGCACCGTACGTAGCCCACCGCGCTAATCGGAGGTGTGAGAATGACTGCGGCTACTGGTCACGCGCTTGCCAGCGACGTGGAGAACATTGGCTGAGATATGATCCCCACGCGAACGTGAATTTCCATAGATGGGCTGTCGGTGGCAGCTTTCGCTAAGCCTGTACACGGACTAACACAGAGACGTCACGACATCGCTGTCATTGTCACTGCCCCGTCAGTTGTGGTACGGCAGCGTCAATTAATTTCCACAACGCTGCCGCGTCGGCCTGTGCCCTACCACGGCCGCTGCGATGGCACGACCGTCAGCGGGCCCGCTTGTGTGAGATCGCAAACGCGTCGAGTAGCAAACAGCTCTGGGTTGTCGACGGGACGCGGTGCAGAGGAACACTCCACGCACACGCGAGCGCGGTTGAGGATCGGGGTTTTTTGGGGGGTGCAATCGAGCCGCGTCGTCAATAAACTCTGAGCGAAAAAAAAAAATATTATCTAGAATTGGAATTAACTAAACAAAATAAACCACACACATTCGCAATGACTTGAAGGGTTATAAATATGAATTGTCGTCGTTTGGTTTCATGGAATCGCCGGCTGGGAGTTTGTGGTGACTTTGACTCGAGCGCATTGTCATATCGATGCATCGAGAAATGTTTAATTAAAATCAAAGATACGACTGTCACACTGCCTCGCGGTCCTCGCTGCGCAGCGTTGATTCGCCATTTCCAATCGCCTGTGCCTGTTTCAACAAATCGCCGCATGTACGGTGCGAAAGAAGTTCAACGTGCACTCACTGACGCACGCGTCCAAGGTGTAAAGGTAAAAGCGCAGCCCTGCAAAAGTGCGCTCATTCTCGCCGCTGCCGACGCCAGTGACCTTCTCCAACACAGGCAGCTCCCAGAGAGGAGCCCCCTCACCCACGTGCATTGGTCGACACCTCCCGCAACGGGACAGACGTCTCGGGAGAGTCGGAGCAGAACCGGCCCTAGACCTTTGGGGGCCCTAAGCAAAATTTGGTTGGAGGCCCCTTTGATGTATGATTTTTTTCACCCACTAACTAGCAGTGACTCTAGGGGGCCCTCTGCTGGCCACGGGGCCCTTTGCAATTGCAAGGGTCGCTTAGTGGCTGGGCCGGCTCTGAGTCGGAGAGGTACCCACACTTTACCCCACCGGACGCGACCCGCCGATCGACTTAATTGTGGCGAATCCACTTCGACTGCCGGTGAGAAGCGGCGGTGGCGAGGGGAGAGGGGGGTGATGAACGAATCTGAAATCGAACCTGCGAGCACCGGATCGCGAGTCCGGTGGCGCTGCTAACCATCGCTCCGCGGCATCTTCCGAAAATACGCCAGTCAAGTACAGACGAAGAACAACATTCATACACACGGACAAAGATCCCCCGTATAGCCTGAACAGACTGTTGGGACAAGTGCTGTTAGCGGGCACCTATGAAGGCCAGATAGGCACACGAGGGGGCGGGTGGCCAGAACCACGCCCGGCCGTTTTTATCTCTCCTGTGGCGATGATTTTACACGCCGCAACAGGAACATATTTGAGGCTGAGTCGACCTAGGGGAGGACCGGTTCAGATAATCGTCACCGGTGTTGGCTTGTGATCGGGAATCGAACTCTAGTCGCCGGGTTTGTAGCGCAGCGCGTTCACCACTACACCACCGCTCCCCACACACGCACGCACACGTACACACACACATACAAGCACAGGGTAAAATAAGCAAGGGGTGACGTTGACTAAGCCGGACACGCAACACTGCACATTGAGCCATTTGCCAACAGCTGCTATGTGCAAGAGCTGACTCGGCTATATGACAGCACGTTTTGCAGCATTGGCCGTAATCACAAAGAAAAAAATAACCCGTAAAAACAAAGTTTTTCACTATAAATCCTTTATATGCGTGGCGGCTAGAGTCCTCTCGTCCTCTGGCTTGAGATGGCTGCCACCTATGGGTCAGATGATTGCCTGCCACCATTAAGCAATTGGTAATTAAATATAATTTTTTTTCCTAAAAAGTGTAAAATTTAGGAAAAAAATTTTCACGAAAATAAATTGGCACGCACAACGAGTCTGTGTGCGAAATGTCAGCTCGATTGGATCACGGGAAGTGGGTTAAAAAACGACCGAAAGATTTGCACGGTCGTAAGCGCGCAAGCAAGCAAGCAAGTGAACTTAATATAAAGGATTTAAAAATGCATCTACACGCAGACCAACAGCCACCCACAGCCCTTGTGTCGACCCACTGCTGGATCAAGGCTTTCAGATCACGGCGGTCAACGCAGGTTGGTGAACAGAGACACCAGAACCAACCAGTTCAGCCTTCTAATGTTAGTCGTGGCAGGGAATCTAACTCAAGGTCACCGAGTTCATAACACTGGGGCACGCTCAATTCCCAACACAATTTCAATTCTCATTGAAAACCAACGTGGGCATATCTCTGAAAAGAGTGCAGCTAAACTTTGTGGAAATGTAGAGAAGATCTGTCCGTCTCAATACGAAACGTGCACTCGTGAACACGGCACGGGCACGGACGTGAAGTTACAACAATTAATGAAGATACGTGACCAGGACACACGCTCAAAATACTACAGTCTCCTTTAACACGGTAGTAGTCGCTGCGTTCCTGAAGAACACCGCATGATGGAAACATCGCGTTATAATAAATAATGTATGGGTAAAGCACAGTCCGCGATAACACGTGAGCTGCGTACGCAGACTGAACAAAGACTTGAGGTGTGTGGGTAGCATCTAGAAGCATCCAGCAGCATCCAGCCATGCGTGATGCGACGCCGAGGCAAGCGTACAACCGCGTATTCCTTACACGTGCAATGTAGTCCCATTCACTCAATCGCGTTATATCCAATTCGCATCCGCGGTATATAAAAAATTAACCCGTAAAAACAAAGTTTTTCACTATAAATCCTTTATATGCGTGTTCAATGGGCCACAACCCAGCCCACATTGGTTTTTGAAACGGGCGGCTAGAGTCCTCTCGTCCTCTGGCTTGAGATGGCTGCCACCTATGGGTCAGATGATTGCCTGCCACCATTAAGCAATTGGTAATTAAATATAAAAACAAATTTCCTAAAAAGTGTAAAATTTTGGAAAAATGTTTTCACGAAAATAAATTGTCACGCACAACGAGTCTGTGTGTAAAATGTCAGCTCGATTGGATCACGGGAAGTGGGTTAAAAAACGACCGAAAGATTTGCACGGTCGTAAGCGCGCAAGCAAGCAAGCAAGTGAACTTAATATAAAGGATTAAAAAAAAAGTCTTCCCTAACACATAAAAATTCGCGTTATATCCAATGCGCCCCATGAAAACGAGACCATACTAACTTCCTTCCGCGGTCACCTTTGAACAAACACCGCGAATTAACACGCGCTGCTAATGGGGGGGGGGGGGGGGTGATGCAATCAGTGGGCACCGTTGCGTGTGGGCATCACACACAGCCGAGGGGGGGGGCGGGGTGATTCCCCGTATCGCCTGAACAGGCTGTTGGGGCAAGTGCTGTTAGCGAGCAGCAGCTATGAAGGCAGGTACGGCACACGAGGGGGTGGGTGGCCAGCACCACGACCGACCGCCTTTGTCTCCCCAGTGGCGACGTTTTTACACACCGCACCAGGTACTCATTTGAGGCTGAGTCGATCTAGGTGAGGCCCAGAACCGGTTCAGATAATCGTCACCGGTGTTGGCCCGTGAGCGGGAATCGAGCTGGGGTTGTCGTGTTTGTAGCGCAGCGCGCTAACCGCTACGCCACCGCTCCCCACAGACACACAACGCACGCGCCAACGAGTCACGTGTTGTCGATGCGCTCGGGGTACAATGCCCGTGGGACCACTTGACCACGGGGCACTGATGTCTACATTGACACATTTCGTAGCTTAACACGGGGTAAGTTTTGTTGCCAGATAAAATAGTAAAA